ACCTTTAGCCTAGCGAGATAAAGGAAATCCTGCATATTTCAAAAATTAATGTGAAAACAGGAAAGTGAGATTAGAAAATCGATACAAAAGTAACTAGATCACCCTCTAATTTTGATTTCATATAGTGGTTTGTTGGCAGATCATTGCAATCCCATCCAAAGTTGAATACTGTGGAGGGAAATATAATAAAAGGTACACCTTGCTGTGTTTTACATCTTAAACAACAAAGTCTCACATCTGAGAAGCTGAAGCCGGTGAACATTTGTCATTTTCCTTTGATAAATGACTTCAATGACTGCTGTTTAAGTTCGCTGAAGCGCTGGTGCTGGAAAAAAAGGAATTACATTGGCAGTTACGCACCTCTGCCGGTACTACTGTATACAAGCAAATGTAAAATTTGTGAACGCAGAGCAAAGTCAAATCCATCATTCGGCAGGCTATAACTATAACTAGCGTGAGGCATTAAAATTTTTAGGAGCTTTCATGGTACATTCAGCTCCGCACAATCAAAAGATAAAAGGTAAATGGAGGACAACGGCACTATGAGGTGTTTTATGAGTTTCATCTGGGACACAACCGACTTTTAAAGGATCACGTAAAGATGGAGATGGCTGCAGTATGTTCTGAAATGCTAAGTACCACTAACCAGTGTCTATAAGTGATGCCGATACAAGAATCTCCAAGGCACGGGCGCAGGTGAATGAACGTGTCCCTACTTTCTGATTTTGGAGAGGAGAACTGAAGACTCAGAAATACAAGGAAACAAACAAACAATCATAAACTTCTCTGCAGGGCTTTCTGCAAGGTTCACTGAGACCTTCGTGATAAGAAAAGTGAGGAATAAAATGTTGAGGAAAGCATGTAGCTATCTTAGCAATAACAACGAGAAGGCTGAAACTACTTTGGCACATGAATGGAAGTAAGGCATCTGTATCATTCTAGAGTCAAAAAAGAGTTGAAATGGAGCATTGTTCCCAACCAGCAAAAGTGTCAAAACAGACTTATGTTAGAAAAAAAAAAGCAAGCGTTTACTGTTAATTAAGTGTCTGACAGCACACTCTTCTCTTGTGCTGCTGCATACTTGCAAAATAACACTGGGAGAAACATATGCGGTACCTTAAAAAAATGCAAGAAAAGAAAAAACCTTGACCACCTTCACAAATTAAAGAAAACAAAACAAAACAAGAGCCAATAGTGAATGCTGAAAAACAGAGCAGAGTCTGTTTGTGTCACAACGATGACCTGAATGAGGATATTGCGATGGTGAGGAACAGGGAGAGGGGGGAGATCTCCACACTCCAGGCTCTGGAGCCACGGGCGCTCATACCTGGGAAACAAGAAAAACAAGGTAAAAGCACCGTGGCTGACATCCGTCTGAAATACACATTTCTAACCCAAAGTTTCAATTCTCTGCTCTGTCAGCTGCTGAGAATAACACGCTTAGGTTGTCAAAACATAAAATATGCATGCTGACGTTTCATGGGGTTACTTAAAATGTGGTGCAAACTCATTTGTGTGCTGGCTTTTAAGTGCATGGGTAAAAAATGTATTAGAGGAAGTGAGTGTAAAGGACCCAGAACACTGATGCAGTTTGCTTCAATCGCTGCTTTCTCACTACATAATATACTTGATAAAAATGACTCTGCCAGACAGCGCGTTTCATGCTCCTCCGGGAATGATGAGGCCATTTAACAAAAAAAGCCATGTTGAATTCTACCTCTTTCTGTTTTCAGGGATACGACACAAAAGTTCAACAATGCAAAGTAGCATTTAGGGCAGGGGAACAGCCCCCGCTGGAGTCCCACAGGACACCAATAGCACCTAGCCAAAGCGAGTCTGTGACAGAGATGGATTGTGTTGCATATTTCAGCAAACTATAAGCGCAGAAGAGTGCAGGGGAGGTGGGATGGGGCCTTGAGTAAGGGTGGGTCAGGGGAGGACAAAATGTCCCTGTCAGATTTACAGTGTTAAGTGACTTTATTTATAAAAATGGGCAAAAAAGAAAGAAAAGGTCCCAGTGAATTCATATGTCAAATTTTGGCATTTGTCTATGTTCCTCTGGAGTATGAGAGCAGCATATTTTAAAGGGAAGGGCGTGAGGAAAACTCAAATTATTCTTTCAGCCTTCAGTTTTTGACCATTTAACCACTGCAACTTCACAAAACATGAACACCGAGCTTACTTAGCTGGTGGATTCGTATGGGATCTGATGCCGGCCCTAGTCCTCCTTCACTCAGTGTCTGCACAAAGATGATGTACTCCTCATCGTCCTCAGGGAGGGTCAGCTCTGCTGTTGCATTGACCGTTGTGAGTGTGATTACCTCTTTGTGTCGCTGCCTATGGTATGACAGCTGAAAGGGGAACACATACAAGGTTGTAAATATGTTTTCTAACACCATGACAACTTCGAACGCATAAGCTTCGTGGTTACCCAGTGTACCAAGTTCCCGTTGTTGGATTATAATATTATTTTATGCCATGTTAGACCCCTAATTAAAGATTGTGAATTATTATGTAGTTTTAGTTTGCATTATTCTCCTGAATTAGAAGAAGGTGATAACTATTACATTTGTTAAACTGATTTGCATTACATTAGACTGCTGATTTATTGTGAATGAATGATATTGTTTTATGATGCATTATACCGCTGAGTTATAAGAAATACTGTTCGCAGAAAGTCATCGCCTTATTTGTCTGATTGTCTGAAAGCAACTGAGAAAGTAAAACTCACTTGATAGCCCAAAACTTCTGATTCTGATTCCATTGCCACCACAGGTTCCCAGTAAACAGACAGCTGAGAGCCCATTAGGTTCCATCCCACATTCATTGGCGGCTGGGAAGGTGCTGCGTGATATAAAAATTATTAACAATTTTATATCAGTGCAGAAACATTAGTGCCACATTGGTGTATAATCCCAATTTCAAAAATTTGGGACACTGTGTAAAATATAAATAAAAACCAATAGTGTATTCACAATAAAACAAGGCAAACATAACAGATAATTAAACTGAGACATTTTAATATTTCATAAAATATAATAGCTCATTTTGAATTTGATGGCAACAACACAGCACATCAAAGTTGGGAAAGTAAGTGATATTAAAAAGAAACTACTAAACAGGTTTATGAGCAACAGGTCAGTGACTTGACCGGGTATAAAAGGAGCATCTTAAAGAGGCAGAGCTCCTCTAAAGTAAAGTAAGGCAGAGGTTCATTGATCTGGGAAAAAAAGTGTATCTGCAAATTGTGATGTTTGTCAAATTGTTAGGATCTCATCATCTGCAGTACATGATGTCATGAAAGATTCGGGAAGTCTGAAGAAATCTCTGTGCGCAAAGGATAAGGACAAAAATCAACACTGCATGTACGTGATCTTCGTGCCCTCAGGCAACGCTGCACTAAAATCAGGCATGATTTAGTCATGGAAATCACAGCATGGGCTCAGGAACACTTCCAGAAATTGTCTGTGAGCACAGTTTGCTGTGCAGGTTAAAGCTTTATCGTGCAAAGAAGCTGTATGTGAACACGATCCAGAAGCATCTTCCCTGGAAAACTGTTCTGTGGTGAGACAAATTCAAACCCGAAAATCTTTCTGCAAAACATGGACACTACGTCCCCAGATTAAAAAGGAGAGGGATGATCAGTGATGGTATGGGGCTGCGTTTAGTGCCCATCTAGTACAACCGGAAATGAAACATACGACAAACAAGACCCAGAAGTGTTGAGCACCACGAATCTTATATCAGACAAGAATAGGACAACATCAGTCCAGCAGCTTCTCTCCTCAGCTCCCAGACATTTATGGGCTGTTGTTAAAAGAAGACAGGATGCTACACAGTAGTAAACATGGCCCTGTTACAACTTTTTTGAGACTTATTTCTGCTGTCAAATTCAAAACGAGCTAATATTTTTTCAGTTTAAACTTTTGAAATGACTTCTATGTTCTGCTGTGTACTAAATATGAGTTTATTGGAATTAGCTAACCATTGCATTCTGCTTTTATTTGCATTTTACACAGCACCCCAACTTGGTGAGATTGAACAAGAAAGATTTTATTTCACTTAAAGGATAACACGACTTTAAAAAGATTGAATTAAATACTATTATTATATGACACTAATCTTTGCCCAGTTTGGAAGTACAAATAAAGTGTGGATAAAAGCAGAATGGAACCAGTTCACTTTAAGGTGATTTGCTTTGCAGCTTCAAAATCATTTTGATGCTACACTGATCGGTTAAATGGCAGGTGGCGTCTGTTTAATCCCCACTCCCCTGACTACATTGCCCATTTTGGCAGTTAGTAAATTCAGTGAGAGGGTAACACCTCTTGGGAAATGCAAGTTGCCAAGGATAATAAAGGCAAAGCCCTGCAGATTGTGACTACTGAGGACACAAGGCCCTCGTCAGGGGACTGACAGATCAAGGTCCGGTTGCACAGAGTCAAGAGGAAGCAGTGTGCTTGGAAGCAGAAAAGATATAAGCGGGTCGGGCTGATGACTAAGCTAAAGGCTAACAAAACCATATTGGCTATTCCTTCGGGGGGGTTTTGGAGGCAACTTTTGCTCACAGGGCATTAAATCAGACCTGCTTCAGCTCTTGTACAAAGCAAACTAATGGTGTATAAAACAGCTTTATTCGGGTTAAGCACGCTAATCTGCCTCCTGCTGCTGACTTGAAATTGTCGGCATTGAGATGAAGACTCTGTGTTTGTTACATGAACTGTTGCTAGTCTTGTGTTCCATCACGTCTCTAACCACTGCTCAACAAATCTTCATACTCTGCTTTAAATCGAAACTACTATGTCAAATGTGGTAAATGAGATGACTTAGTGTTTTTGAATAATATGCGATCATTATGAACTTAATGTGTTTTTAAAGATTCGCAACAGGGCAACGTTTGCCACTACATCTCCTTTTAACAACACTTTGCAAGCATTTGGGAATAAAGGGAGGCGGCAGTCCTAAGAAAGATATGTTTTTTATATTTTTTTGCATTAAATAGAAATCAACTGCTCGACAGCTCTGCGCCTCGATTGTTTGCTATGTGATAAAATATGCCATCAACCTGGGAGGGACCACATATAAAAATGAGTCTATGTGGTTAAATCTGGAATATTTATATGAATTTAAGTGCTCATAGAGAAGTACAAGCTACTCACGCTATGTACATGGACAAGCATTTTTTGCATGCAGTGAAGAACCATGTCTATTTTGAATGCCGTGATACCCGAGGGCCTGCAGAGCATGGTGCTACCCAAACTGGTTTTCAGCCCTCTTCCCCTGCACACAAAGATTTCTCTGGGTTCTCTTAATCTTTTAATATTTTGTCCCGTCGATGATAAAATCCCCAAAGGCTTTACAATTTTACACAGAGTGATAAAACCCTCCCTATCTTTACATCCTCTCTGGGACTTTCCTTTTATATTTTTATATTTTTTTGATCTAACTTTTTTGGCACGTGTTCCTGTGAAAAAGACCATATTTTTTCACAACAATACAATCTCTCCGATTTAGCCTTTTATATTTGCATCGTTAACCTTTACATGCATTCTGTTTTTGTAACGCTGCACTGCGTTACTGGACTTGTGTGACTTCTGAGGATGCGGACACGTTTCAACACATTTCCCCAGCATTATTGGAAAAGCTAAGAATAGACTTTAATTAAACCACTAAATGTTTCCACCTCTCAATTCTAAGCAGTGTAGTCACAAAAATCAAACCCTTGAGCAGCAGTATTGTGTGCCGCAACTTACGTGGCTTTTTTGTGGTGACATTGATCGCAGGGAGGAATGGGCTAGTGCCTGCTGTATTGAAGGCGCTGACTGTTAGGAAATACTGTGTATTTCCTGCCAAGCCACTCACTGTGGCCGAGGTTTGGTTCCAAGGCACTCTAACTTTCCCCATGGTCTCTGGTTTAGTGTCATCTTCCCAGTAAGCCACCTATTTTCAGAAAGAGAGCATGTCATTCGGGATAGAAGGCTTTGGCTTGGAGCAAAATGTGTACATCTATTCTTTATGTGCTTTCTAGCCCACGTGGCATAAAAGGATGCTTGCAAATACGCTACATTTGATGTCTTGAAAGAACTGTGATAATTTTAAATAAAAGGCTTTGATTGTATTCTCTGAAGAAAGATCACAGTTTCCAGCTGGATATTTGATATCTCACATTACAAATCCTTACAGCTCCTAGAAACGGTTTAAAATGTACATACATTCGAACATAGATGAATGATTAGTCCCCTCGCTGATTAATTAACATGTATTAATTGCCAAAAAATAATAAAAATATTCAGTGTAAAAGTGTTTTTCCAGCAAACGCCAAAAAGAGAAAAGCAGCAAATACTCCCAAGAGTGGAGCAGGGAACTATAAAGCCTCTGTACTTAATGACTGAAACTATTCATTGATATTAAATTGCCAATCAATTCTTTTGATTGTTGCTTGACTATCTAATTGTTTCAACAATACCTCATGGCTTTGTAATGTGGCAATATTTTTTCTATAATGGAAATCTGCCTGATTAAAAATGGCTTTTAAACAGTTATGCTACAGATCGAGTGCCAGCAAAATGTATTTAAAATAAACGTAAGAGATTTTTGTTATTATCCAAACCATTAGCCTGGAAACAAATGATCCCAAATGAAATCCTTTTTTAGCAGTCATTCACTTTCCCGTCATCATTATTCATCTAATATCATAGAAGCAGCTCAGATATAAACAGCAAAAAAAGATGGAGTTATGGAAACAACTTTGACTTTATTGAGCAAAAGAAAAACAACATCTTTCATTAAAGCCCTTTGATCATCCTGATTATTCCATCAGAGGTATGTGGACGAGGCAATCAGGGTGTCCTAGTTTTAAAGGTAAGACAGGATGAAATCAGCAGTTCCTGGTTTGAAGTGTAACAGTTTAATGTTTTACTCAGAGGAAAGTAAAAACACACCAGACCCTGCTGTGCTGTGCTCCATGCATTTCCAGTGTAGCATTTCCCAGTGCCGTGACACAAGGCCCGATATTGCTATCATGATATCCCATGAATGACAGCAACATGAAAAGGCATGTGGCCAGGCAATTTTCTTTTGTTCTCTTGAAAACGCTCTGACATGTTTTCCTGTCGTGTTGCCACAAAGAACTGTATAATTTTTGGCAATAACAGTCGGCCAAGTGAAACAGCCATTTCCATGGCGACGCAGAGTTTGGAAGTGATGGTTTTGAGGTACAACAGGGGTTGATGGTGAGCATTTGAATCGTGTTGCTTGTGAGAATGTGTGTGTGATTTCTATTTCCATTTAAAAGAGTAAAATGTACCTCATAGCCCAGAACCCTTTCAGGGATGAAGGAGAGAGCCTGCCAATTCACCTCAATCTCAGAGGCTGAGACACTTCTGGCCCTAACTCCCGCTGGCTTCTCACTTGGCTCTGAAAACAGACAACGGGAGACTGAGCTGTGCCGCCGTCTTCCAAAAGCACAGAAACGAGCAGAACAAATCTCTTCAATTTTTACATTTATAACTGTGCGCATTCTTTTGATCTCTACTCAGATGAATCATCACACACAGGTGCTGCTGGTAAATTGACTAACACTACACTACACACAGAGACACCCCCCCCCCACCCCACCCCACACCCTTCAGCATACTGAGAGGTAGCACAGATCTAAATGCCAACCAGTTTTTACTGTGGCGCAGCATTTTAATACAGCGGTGATATTTGAAGGCAATCTGCTGGTTCGTACATAAATGTGTTCCCATGATTTTGTACCTCGTTCATATAAAGATATTTCTGCAGATTTATTTTGCTGCGTGTGTTTTTATCTACCGAGCACTTTTAATCCAATCCGATAAAAAAACAAAAAAATCTACTTTGGGGGGCTTTGCTCAGATTCCACTCACGTCCACTCTTTTACCTGTCTCCGCAGAGTAGATGGTGACCACGGGGCTGAAGGGACCCTGTCCTTTGCTGTTGTAAGTGCCAACCTTAACGTGAAACGGAGAGAAGGGCGCGATGCTGTCGTTGCGGTACACGTAGCGTGACGCGCCAGGGGCGGAGGTGGCCACGTGTGTCCAGCTAGCTTCTCCGAAGGCGCGGAAAGCGATGATGTAACCAAAGCTCTCACCATTCTGTAGTTCTTCGGGAACAGGCTGAGAGTGAAACACAAAACTATAGTGATATTAAAACATATACAAACCACTCACGTTCACACCACAGCCGGGCTCACGCAGTCACCACCGTCTCTCATAACGTCAAAAAAAGTGCATGACCCACAAATTGCTTTCGCAACCCACCTGATGAAATAAAAGGAGCAGTAAAAATGCCATTTTAAAACTCTGCGCTCATTACCGAGCATCCGTGCAGCTTTTAAAATGAAAAGTTATTCTGTATATAATGAAATGGGAAATCTCCAATGATGAGATAACATAGAAAGTAATGACTTGTACAATGCCTGCACTGTTATTCTTCCATTCGACTCCTTACTGCTATATTTGAGCATTGTAGATTAGTCTGAACAGTAATTCATCACAGATCCGAGACTCACAAATGAGAATATCTGTCAGATTTACTTCTCTGTTGTATACGCTGCCGCTGCCTTACATGCAAGCAATTTGAGAAATTACAGCGACGACAGACTCCCATTGACCCCAAATTTATGACACCCACAAGCAAAACAGAGCAGGTGCTTTGGTTTAGCGAGGAATATTTAGAACCTCGTTTAAGATGAAAACGACACTGACTCCGGGCACTTTGAATAACAGACTAGAGCATAAGACTGATGATTTACCTCCCACGTGATAACCAGTTCATATCTGCTTCCACCACCTCCACCCACATCACCTGGCACTGCATCTGGAACTACAAAACACAGACCATGATCACATTTCAGTATAAAAACACATATATATAAAGCCGCATAAAGGCAAGTTACAGCACAAAAAGGGAAATCAATACGCTGTACCTGCATCCTCTGTCCTGGTCTTCACGGACACTGGGCTGGGTTCTCCGACACCAACGCTGTTTTTTGCCAGTACCCGAAAGTCATATTCAACCCAGGCATTGAGGTCCACCACGGTGGCTGTCAGTGTGTTCCCATCGATTATCTCCGGGACTAAGAATAAAAGCAAACATTGCAGATGGAAGGTCTTTGCAAGAGCCTACATGTATACAAGTGAACAGCTACAACTAAAGCAAGAGAACAATTATGCACGCATACACTGTTTAAGCAGCGTAGACTGGTCAATAAAGTGTTGAATGCAAGCTGGTTTTGAGTCATGACTGTAGAAGGTGGCTGGAGGATAGCGGATTTCAAAGGACAAAGGACAGTAAATGGTTTAACTGTCAGCCCTGCTGTGTACAGCGGCGTCTTCCTTGATAGTAACGCTGAGGGATCCAATGAAATGCCAATAAAAAACCTACAGCCATTGGCTTGAAACGTGCAATGACATTTGTTCGCTACTTCGGTACAGCACAAACAGCTACAGTGAAAAAGCTGACTCCTTGTGGTGTTCTCAAATGTCCATCTATCCATTCATTCTCTTCGTCTTGGGGTCTGAGCTACACTAGGGCGAGAGGCGGGGTACACCCTGGACAGGTCGCAAGCCTGACTCAGCTTCTCAGCAAACAGCTGCCAATGTACACCTCCAGCACATACAGGCCAATGTTAGATATCATAAGTGATTTCTCAGTTGTGTTGTTCTCCAGTGTTTTCTCTCCTTTTAGCTTTGCTTTGCTCTCAGCTAATTCCGGAGGGAAACATCTAAGCCTTTTAGATGGGATTTTTTTTCCCCACCGCATTAACCAAGCAGTTGTTTTTTTGTGTAATGCAGCCTTTACACCGTTTTTACTTCAATTACAGGACTGTTTTAGCCATAATGAGATTGGATAAAACCAATAAGAGGGAACTAAAACAGGTGCAGTCCAGAAAACCAGAACAAGCTCTGTAGTGCTCAGAAAGTTCTGTGATCAGCATTTGACTTCGTCAATTCATCATGCCCCTTTTTTGTTACAAACAGTTGCAGGATTGGTAAAAATTTGATTACAGGAATTTTACCGTGAAGCAACTCCTACTTTCTCATTTAGGTCAAACTTTTTTATATAAAATCTGTACAATATACTTTTAAGTTAAACTCAATTGTCTCAAAAAAAGCCTCACACACGATCCCCTATGAGCAAGCACTAGTTGACAGTGGGAAGGAAGAACTCCCTTTTAACAGGAAGAAACCTCCAGCCGACCCAGGCGCAGGAAGGGCCGGTCATCTGCCATGACTGGTAAAAATCTGCCTTTATGCTCACCCCAGCTGATTTATTGTTATTATAACTGTTATTATTTATACTGTTTATTATTATAAGCCTTACCCTTTTTAAGTAAACAAATAAAAACAACTGCAGTATATGCATTCAACCTTTTCTAGACACTTGGACCCAGATCATTAAGAATGCAGAAAAAGCCTGGTATTTGCCTTTTTCATATAAACTCACATTTATAAGAGACGAATAAAAAATGACAGCATGTGCACCTATTAGGGCTGCACGATTTTGCATAAAATGAGAATCACGATTTTTTTGCTTAGAATTGAGATCACGATTCTCTCACGATTTTCTTTTCCAGTATAAATATTTATTGCACTTATTAACTG